ATGTAGGATTTAGTAGAAAGTAGCATGAAAATACAAAAACTACATGAACTGAAAATAAGCAGCTCTACTTTTGAAAACAACCAGAGCTTGTCTTTTTTTTCTCCTTCCGTCAGTGGATAACTTTTTCCAACTAGCCCCACATTCCTTTGTGAAAAACACTTATTGAGTCAGTGAAACTGTGGGGATTTTTTTCTTCCACTCTTACGCACACAGATTCACAGAGGGGTCTACATCTTTGTAACATATTCCAGACCGTCCTTTAATTCAAAATGTCTCTCGCCGAAACACATCAGACCAGAAATACATGTTCTCTCAGCTTCAAAAATTAACACTTTGATTTCAACTTGACAAATTCGGTGCTCTTAACGTTTTCAAGTAGTTGTATTGCATTAAGGTTCAGACTGTTTGACCTGTTCATATGGGCCCTTTAAACACAGGATGATGGGAAATGGCACTGTTCTGTGTTCCTTTGAACGCCGCTGTAGAGGGCAGCTCTGAGAAGCTTCACCTTGAACTGATAAAAGCAATGAATTATCGCTTTGTTTATCCTGCTGCTCAAACTTGGAGTGCATTATCAAAGGACAGAGTGTATTTTTAAAATCTTGTAAATCTGGTGAATTTATGTCACCATGACTTGGGGACCTTACCTTGGCCTTCTGGTTTCCATTGGGATTGAGGCTCTAGTCCCGTGGTCTGTAACTGTGAAGTATTGCAGGCAGGATTTAGCACGCTGACCCCCGGCTCTCAGAGGGGTGCTCATGGTCTTCCCAGGCTCAGGGGAGATGACCAGAGCATTAGGCCGGGACCCCTCCCTTTGCAGTGGTCTCCTTTCTAATCAAATGTGTCTGGGAGTGATTTGGTTTGAATACTGGTGGCCCGGTCGGATGTGATGGTGTGTGATTGACGGGCTGTGATGCAGAGCAGGATGTCGGCAGGGTGAAAATACCATTAATGTTATTGCTCATTTCTTAAAGTGGGGGTGGCCACACTGTTGGTGGAGGTTTGTCACCTTCATCCTCCCCCCCCACCACCACCACCCTTTATTCCCCCTGTTGCACTACGAATGCCCTCTCAACCTGAGCTTCACTCCAGTTACAAGCTTCTTCACTGATTCTGAACTTCACTGTTGCTCAGAGAGCTTCACACAAAAGTGAAGTTTTAACCACTGATAATGACATCAGTTCACGTTTCCTTGTTATGTTATAGCAGCTCTGCTACTGCCGTTGGTACAAAGGAAGAACAACAACATCCCATCATTGTGTTTTATGGCCCATAATTGCGCGGTGGGAGGCTGTGCCCCCCAGGTCTCCTCCTAATGGCTGTTTGTGTGTTATTTTAGTGGCAGATTTACATGTGGGAGGGACGTAGGGCGGGGATTTACAACCAGCAGTGCCCCTGACGGGCTTAGTGAGTGACTGGCCCTCTCCCTGTGTGTTCCAGGTGATAGTACAGTCTGGACGCCAGCCCAGCGTTCTGCAGAAACTGTGTCAGCTGCCCTTCCAGTACTTCAGCCACCCACGCCTCATCCGAGTGCTCTTCCCCTCCCTCATCTCCGCCTGCTACAACAACTCCCACAACAAGGTCATCCTGCAGCAGGAGATGAGCTGTGTGCTGCTGGCCACATTCATTCAGGTAAATATGGGAACATGGTCCCATATGTGGTATATGTTTGCACATAAATAAGTCATTATTTTTCACACAGATTTCATGGTTGTAATACCATGGCCAAAACAAATAAAAGATGTACTAAATATCAAAAACAACATATGTGGCTTTATCTTTTTAAATAAAACGTCCAAACACAATTAATTATTTGCATGGGCTCAATAACAGTTGCTTCTCTGGAGCGCGGTGCATGTGTAACAGGCAGGATTTTACAAAGATAAATGTCTTCCTTGACAGTGGATTTACCTGCCACTGGTTCAACTCCCAGTAAACAGCTTGTCTCCTTCATCTTCCTCTGACAACACGCCCCTCACCACTCTGCAACCACCACTGTTTAGACACCGATTAACTTCCATTCAAAGGGGGACAAGCTATTGTCATTTCTTTCAAACAAAGCAATAATGCATGGGGTCTTACCCCGCTGCCCTTAGCGTTGAGTTAACCCCAAGAACATTCCTCCAAAGTTTGATCCTAAATGTCTTTATCACTCATTATACCAAAGATATTAATTTTGAATAGTAAATTACAATGACAATTTGTGAAAAGTAAAAGTAAACCCTGCATTATACCGTTATAGTTGGAACTAATGCTTCTTATATTCTCCCCTAGGATTGTGCTACAAATGAGAAAGATTCAGACAACAAAATAAAGCACACAGGTAAGTTATTTTGATAAATATCAAATGCATAACCAAAAATGTGATAAATTGTATTCATTTTATATATTTGATGATATAATGATATGTTAGGTAAAAACAGGCATGTAGGTTTCCCATATTCTAATATTAAGATAAACGTATTTCTTTGTATATTTCTTTGTGATTAATGTCTTTTATTTTAATGAAATCCTGATTCTTGCTAGTTTTAATAGGTTGTCTGCCCAGTATAATGAAGCTGTTCTTCTCTGTGTGTGCAAAGTTTCCCAGCAGCTGGATTACTGCGAGTTGTCCAACCGCTTTCCAAGAGATCAGTGGGACTCGGCACTGCAGTTTTTTTTCAAGAAACAGGAAGAGTGATGGAGATGCACACTGTCCTCAAGATGGATAAGCGCAGTATAAACACTTCTGAAGAAACGTGAGATGTGAAATTGGTTACGTTTTTTTGTTCCTCACCTAAAGTCTGCACACTAGTTATATGTTCTCATATGTTCTTCAAACTTTGTCAAACATTAAGATTGTGAAGCCTTATCCTCAGTGTGTGGCTGTGTTTTGATTTATTTGAAATCAGATTGGAGTTTATGAGAAATTTGCACAAAATGTATTGTTGTTCTTTGCAGTTAGAACGCATGCACATCTTTTTCATTTAATGTCTAAACGACTCGTCTGTTTTCTCTTTGTTTCTGTTGTAGATAGAAATGGATGTGTTTTCCAAGCAGTTAAACCTGAAACATTTACTTATACTGTAATTTATAATATGCCAAGTGTTTTCATTAATACTGTTTGTGTTCATTATTGTATTTGTCTCATGTTTGAATGTGAATGGCCAGAATGTTATTTTGTTGTCTTCGTACATTAATGCCCGTTCAAAGTTACTGTACCTGGCCTGCCTTTATTACAAACTTGTGTTGAGAGTTATATTTGAGTTATATTTGTTATATTTCTCTGTTAGGAGGCACATGCAAATTAATATAATTTATTGACTTATTTACCTTTTAAACATGCAAAATAAAAAATATTATGGTTACAGTATGTATTGTTCTTTGATTTTTCTGTGTGAACTGTACAAAGTTTATTTGATACCATTAATATGAGTTAAAAACTATTAAGACTCGGTGGTTGGTCTTGTCTTTATGTCTTTTATAACCCTCAATTAAATTAAAGAAGATGTCCTTATTGGGTCTATGATTTACTTGCATATAAACAATGCTTTGTTTAATGTCAGAGAATGTGACTTCATCAAAAAGGTGTGAAATGTAAAAGGAGGTTGTCTTCCTCTGTACTTGCCTTGCACTGATTTATTGAAAGTAAATTGATTGGTGTATTCAAAATATAGAGATTAGCAAAATAAGGCTTAAGAAATAAGATAGAAAATAACTCTTATTTTTAAAAAAACTTGCCTTGCATTGCAGTGTGAAACCGCTGAAGCATTCATTCCAGCTTGCCCAGTTCAAATTTGAAGTCAGTGTTGATGTTAAATATGTGGAAGGTGTTGAAAATGAATATTCCTTACATGTTTAAATTTGGTGTTTTATTTTGAAATGTATAGTGAGCACATATAATGTAATTTTTGGGGGCAGTTAGATAGCCCTGTTAGGTACGTTTCAAATTCACATTATCTTCTTAAATGTAGCTGTTTTAGAAGATATAATTATTAGCATGTCTTAAAGCCTTAACAGGATTTTGACTTTCAATGAGACTCTACTTCCTTCAACTGATAAAAGCCGATCCTCCCAAACAAATTGTTGAGGTGTAGTGTGTCAGTCCCGGCTTGACCTGCATGCTCTTTTGTCCAGCGGCTATTTGCCGGTCAGGATTCCTACTGGAATGAAAATAAACTGAAGACACGCCAGGATGCGTCCGCGGGCTGGGAGTCCCCTCTCGCGGCTGCGCGCTTTGTTTTGGGTCCATTCAGTGTATCCTGCAGGTGATGCCAGCAGCAGATAAGCGGCCCCGCTGCCTCTCCTCTGTCTAGACGTGTAACCATAAGCCTCAGGTCGGTATGATAGCCTACTGTGACATTTGTCTAAATAAGAAACATTTGATCGTTGTATCACCATTACAGGAAAACCGCATTATGCATATTGATTTAAATGTTTGTTTTAACGCCATGGTCTTCTATTTTATTTTGTAAGGAAGATGTTGTGATGATGCGTATTCATAGTCTGTCGCGTCTAATTCAGTGACCTATGACAGAGGGGCCAAAAGCTTAATAATATCTTGTCAACCATCAGTCACTGATCCACTTGGCTCAGAAACTGAGCAGGCCTAAATATAAGCTGAGCTTCTTTACTGCCACCTCAGGGTTTGTGACCTGAAGCTGACAGAAGAGCACCCAAAAATGTGGAAACTGAACATGTGTGACGCTGAAATATAGCTTGAGTTTAAGTATTTATTTGTATACGTTTTAGCCCTTGTAAAATGTTGAATTGTAGTACAGAAGCTGGGAAGCTATTTCAACTCTAACCTCCAACTCAAACAGTGTCAAGCATTATAAGCAGCAGTTTCCATTGACCTTTAAAATGATTCATTTAGCCTATTTAAAATAAATCTTCAGTTTTACGAAACAAATTGAATTTGCATGCAATCATCATTTGAAACTATGGTTTTATTGATAAGCTCGGGCTATGTCTGTCTTCATAATAAATAATAATAATAACTTATTTTCTGTTTCATTAATTTACAAGAGACGATATTGAAACTTACAAATCATGCACATCTACACAGTTTGTATTCCTGATAAACACAATGTAACCTTAGGACGTCCAATACAGGCTCACGTGTTTGAATCCCGTAAAATATTCACCACGTTATGGCCAGTTCAGGTATTGGCATTATGGTAAAATGTCCCATAACTAGAAGTCCATTAAGTCCATCAACAGCCGTGTGTCCTGCCGATGTGTCCTTGAGCAACACAATGAGCTTAAACGGCTAAATGTAAAGGGAATAGTCCTCCAATCCTCCGGTCGTCACATGAATTTATCCTGTAGCATAATCCATCCTGGTCCTTTAATTCGTTTTTCTTTGATTGAATGTCACAGAGGTCTCTGCGCGTCCCCATGCAGAGGACGCGGGTGCGCGCTCGGCGGCTCCAGCTGACCTCGAGGCCTCTTCACGTGTCCACGGGACTCGGCACCATGCTGTTCGGTGTGTCCGGTAACTGAGACGAGAGAGAGGTCACATCACTGCCCGAGGAGTTGCCCAGAGAGCCCGACTCAGAAAATGACACCTGCCAGAGGAAGCAATACGGAAGTCAGGTCTAGTCAGATCAACAACAATAAACATTTTACTTTCTTTTTTTAACAGATTGTTTTATTCTCACTTGCCACACTCATGTGAATTTGCTCATGACCAGGACTTGTATTGAAGTTGTAGCCTTGCCTATATTTTCTTTAAATGTATATGGTTTTCTTTTTTTTCTCCCCAAAATATCAGACCGATCTATCAAAACAAATATAGACTTTACCGTATCATCATATCAAGTGACCTCACAGGAGTCCTACAAATTTGATATAGGCTACAGCTTTTTTTATGGTTTGCACTTGAAATCAAAGGCGTCAATATTACTAAATTATCCAAGCATTGTTTTTAAACGAAATGAAGGACATCATCAGCGTTTCAAAACTTCTTAATTAAAGAAACAAGTTAAACAGTATTATTTTAAATTAAGTTTTAAAACTCTTCTATTTATTTTTCTGAATGTGAATTTAGCAGTCCCTTTGTATGATTTTAAACAGCCTATCTTTTTATTTCATCATAATGTGTTAAATGTAATCCCATACCAGCTGTTGGAAGGCGGGCTGGTCCAGGTCGCTCTGCAGGGCGAAGTCGCTGAGGGTCTTCCAGGGGGGCTGGTAGGTCTGCACCTCCACAGGATTCCCCTGCACGCTGTTGTCGTGCCGGATCGGACTGCCTGCCACCAGGGGGGTGCCTGTCATGCCCTGCAGGTTCTGCAAGAAGAACGAAAAACACTTAGTTCGCCCCAAATATTAGCCAATGATGCAGTCTGGTGTAAAGTCACTTCGGGTTAAATATGTTCTGCTCTGCAGCCACTACAGAAATACATTAAAAATAGCATCATTTTTTGTCATTTACGAATTATGAGCAAAAACAAACAAAAAATGCAGATAGGATGTAACTTCTTTATTACACAACATTATGTAGAAATGCATTCTAAAATCAGCCATTTGTATTTTACATTTTTAAAATGTTTTAATTTGCCTTTAAATTGGCATATATCTAATTCTGCAATAGTTAATATGATACAATGGATGTTGTCTACTCTTCCAAAAAGTATGTATGTATGTACATTTATTTTCTATTTAAAAATAATTCACAATTTACCATTATTTTCTGATTTATGAAAAATACAATACAATTGTATATCAAATGACGTCAAAACAACAGTGTTTGTTTTACATTTTATTCTTAGTCATATCCTTTTTTTTCTCACAATTAACAGTCTAAATGGTGTTTATGTAGGATTTTTAAATATTAAATTAAATCAAATTGTTATCTACAACAACATAGCCTTTTAAAATGATTCCCTTCTTTAATTTATCCAGCAGAGGTGTGACAATAAGATTGCATATGTACATTATTCGGTTGCCTGATCATTCACAAGTCTTTTATTGAGTTTCCCATGTTTTTACCCAATTAATCACACGTTTAGCTGGACAATTTAACAGTAGCCTTCAGAAAATAAAGCCTGCAGCAGGAGTTGCCAAATACATTGGGTTGTGGAATAGCATAATATTTCAATAAAAAATAAAAAAGTCATAACATTACTCACGGTTTTCTCGCTGTGGTGCTGTGATTGCAGATGCTTCATCAGGATGGTCCTCTTCTTGTCTTTGCAGCGCTTGTTCTGGAACCAGACCCGGATCACCCTGGGGCTCAGGCTGGTCATCTCCACCAGCTGCTCCTTCATCAGAGCGTCCGGTCGCGGGTTGGCGTTGTAGCAGGTCCGCAGGGTGTGGAGCTGCTTCTCGTTCAGCACCGTCCGGATCCGGGTCGTCTTCTCAGTCTTGTTGTGGCCGTGGTTCCGGTGATGAGGAGGATGCCGGACTGACACTGGTTCTGAAGAAAAATATTATTTTTTATTAGATACTTAAAATAGTTAGTAAATAAACAAAAATATAGAAAAAATATAGAAAACACGAAATTAAAGAAACAAATTAGCATCTGCAATTATAGAAATATTAGCTTTTAAATGCCAAGCTATTATAAGGTCACTACACCCATAAAACGTTGTACACAAACTGTATATAGGCCTTCCATATGCAACAATACAGAGGATCTATATAGAAAATATAATAAATATATAAATCATTTTCATAATTTATGTCAGAACCAAAATGATAACACGTGATATGAAACATTAATGCCCAAAACAAATATTCTTTAGTGGACTTTCTTCAAATGTTGCCTAAAAAAAACGTTTTCAACAAAGTTAAGCAGTAGAATAATACAAATAATAATTGTATTGCCAATAATAATAATATTACTAATAATGCACAAGTGTAGGCCTTTCCAGGTGATTTTCGTGCACTATTTTTGATTAATAATAAACGGTGTGTTTCCTACCGGAGATGTGCAGCGGTCTGCTGTGGACGCTCCCCGGGCTCAGCGGGCTGCCTGCAGAGGCCCGCTCCACCAGCAAGCCGTGATCCGCCCGGCACAGCAGCTCATTGTCCCGCAGAGAGAACTCGTCCCCCGGCAGGAGGTGACGGCTGCACACCGAGCACCGAAAACACTCCATGTGATACACGTTATCCCGAGCTCTCATCACCAGGTCGCTGCTGCAGAAGCCCATGTTACACTTTGCACATTTGATGCCAAATAACCTGAAAAGGACCAAGGAGACTGTGTTGGTCTCATAGCCCTAAAAGTTGTTGAATTAAAGGAATCTGATTTCGATCTCTGCCCATTAACAAAAGCTTAAACAGCTGTGAACTTGACAGAAATAAATAATATTAATCTGAATGCCTGCAACACAAATCTAATTCAGGTCCAGCATACACAATTTCATTAACACACCATATTTGCAGTATTATTAAAGGTTAAAAAAGGTTTAATGAGATATACACAGCTACAGTGAAGTTGTGCAATAAACATATTAAGTCACAGATTCCTCCAACAATGCAACATAAATATTAAAACAATACATAATTGTGCAAGATCAGGAGTTTAGCAACTATAGTTTAATCAAGCATTATAGGATAATAATATTGAATTTCCTCTAAATTGCTCCCTTTAATCCCCAACTTTCTCTTTTCTTTTCTCTTTCTGAACATTATGTAAATGCTGCATTACCTTGCATAATCTCTTTTACAGTAAGTCTTTCCGTCCCGGACGAAGCAAGTGCAGGTCTCGTCAAGGTACTGGCTGCACTCTGCACACTTGAGGCAGGCTGCATGCCACTCCAGGTCCGGGGAGACTCTCAGGATGTACTGGTCGTGTATCTGACTTCCACAGCCCACACACATTGCGATTCCCGACTTCTCTGCGGAGGGGAAGGCGTTAATGCAACACTGTGCGCACTCTTTTAATCCCCATGACATCCCTGTTAAACCCCCTTTACCCCTTCACATTAGGGAGGAAAAATGCTGCGTGTGTCACTACAAATATGTGGGTATTTCCAGGAATATTACAGAATTATTATAGAAAGAGTCAGGAGCTAAAAATATCACCAGTAACATACGGCATGTGTCACTTAAAACGCACGAACAGATACTACAGTATAAGTTTCTGTAATGATTGTTATATGAAAATTAGAGTGATTTTTCGTTAAGACAGTCAGTTGATCACGCCTAAGGTTCAGGTATTATCCTGCAAATGTCGAAATTAATCGTGCAATTAATCTTCAAAGTCAAGACACACGCCGGATGTGTCTTAAAAAGCATACTAAAAACTGACAACAGAACCCCAGAATGGCAGTAAAAGGAGGGAAAGACGAGTAACTTACTTTTTGAATGATCCCCCATATCATCCAAGAAAGAAGTATTGAGCAGGATATCCACCATACAGGAGAAATAGCCCAGTGCAAGCCGACAGATGGAGGAGAAGAGCGGCAGAGGAGACCGTCCCGTCCCTGGCTGGATGAGAAACTTGTATTCCTCCACCGAGAGGTGGGGAGAAAACAAAGATCATCGACCAGTGACGTCTGCAGACCTGGACCGCTGTTGGTCCGGGGAGAGGGTGCCATGCAAATCTCCTCCAGGACCCCTGCTCTTTTTTCATGTTGACTCTTTGGACTGGCTGGGAGAATTTTTGTTGTTGTTTTTTTTGTTATGTTTTTGTCCTGCAGCCCTGCCGACACATCTCTATTACCTTAAGAGCAATTTCGCTGTTTGTTGCTCACAGCATAATTTGTTATCGACTTACTGTAACATAACGTGTTACTGTAGTTTAGATTGTTATTGTCTTATATCACGTTTTTTATAATAATAATAATAATATTTATTTGTGGGCTCTTATTCGTGTTTTTTATGGATCAACGCAGTATCCTATTTTTTTATTACTGTTTATTTTGTGAGTTTCTTAGTTTTTTTATATTGTCTTTATAAAAACATCATGAATTGATCCATCCCCAAATACATTGAAGAAAATGTTTTACTGGTTAGGATTTAGTTTAGGACATAAATGATATAAATTGTAATATATTTGTGTTATTGTTATTATAGTTTAAAAAAAAATGGGGGGGGGGGGCGGGGTTGATTGTTTAATGTAAAATCTTTTTAATCAATCTATTTGTTTTTGTTTTGTTTAACTGGCTTTAATTGATAACCAATAACCTCACCCTACTAGAGGGAGCCCTCTACTGGATGAAACTGAGATCTTGGGTCCACAGACCCGATCAATAAAAGGCACTATGAAAAAGGTAGTTTTTTTTGCGTATCGATAAATTAGTAAACCTTATTTGTATAATCTGATAATGATAACAATAATAAATAGCGGTCATATGGGCTGGTTTTTGTGGATTTTGGCTACTTTTTTCAGTTTCCTCTGCCTTTATCCCTAATTCTCTCACGGTTTGCGTTTCAAGTCACTATTATATCTAACAAACCAGAAAACCTTTCATTTAGGTATTGTAAATAATTCTCTAGTAGCCTAATAATGATTGAATAAAATGTTTTAAGCCTAAGTGAAGGCCTTATTTTTACAAAATGAAAATGTAATATAAGTAAGTAATATATAAGTAAGATTTTAAAATGAAAATTATTGTAATTAAAAAGCTCACAGCACTCTTTGGGACATGGGCTTTATTGTGTTTATATGTTTATTGGTAGCCTAATTAAAAAAAACGGTCTTTTTACACTTTAAAACAAAGCAAGCTGAAAATGTACTTGTATAAAAGCCTATACATTTTCGGTATGTAGGCCTATTGTAGTGATTAAAAACAACATTTTGGGTTTAAGACAAATGGTGTTGCTGTAAAAGAAGCGCTTGCAGCCTTAAAATAACCTTTTATTGTTGTTGATAAGTAATGAATCGTGAATGCTTGCATGTGTTTTGCATGTGTTTTGCATGTGTTTATATGACAGGTTGCATGTTTATCAAGCAACTGTTTCTGTAGTTTAGCAATGTTTTTATTTTTTAACCTGACCGGAAGTTATGTTTCTTAATCTCGCGAGAACTCGTTGGAAACGTCAGATCACCTTTGACACAGTTGTGTTCCTGCAGCAGCACTGAGGAGCATCTGAAGGGTCCAAGATGAACAGAGCTTTCAACAGAACAAGTCTAAAACAGCTGGTAAGAGTATGACAGTTATACATTTATAACTTACACATATATTGTATTGATCTATTAACTTTAAGCAGACAAAGATCTTGAAACATGCCACTCTGCTTGCTTGTTATGTTGCAGCCACAGCTAGCTTGCTAGCTAATTAACACGTTACGCAAAACATGTTTGTCTCTCAAACGGTGGTTTTATTTTATATACGTGTGTGACAGCGTTGTTTGACTTATTCTGACAACAACATTGCATAAACCTTGTAAAATCTTAATTATATAAACGAGCTTTCTGTGTTGAGCTAGCGCTAGCTGGTGTTAGCATAGCTACCCTCGCAGTTATGAAACCTGTCGATAAACAGCAGTTACGAAAGGGTTCAACTGTCATTGACGCAGTAGGGATCGTTGATACCAGATTTAATGCAATCTCAATGAGACATATATCAATATTGAATAGGTTTATAGAGAATTTCGTATGTGTTACTTTTTAGGTTTTTTCTTGTTGTGTAACTTCATTTGAATGACCTTCATAAAGTGAGTGTTCTGTCCTGTCCAGATGAGGCTGGTATTATCCCGTTTTACTTCGACAGTCTGCAGCTGTAGACTGGCACTACAATATATATATATATATATATTATATACAATTAATCACAGGACTGGTTGATATTGCAATACAAACAAATGAATACATGTGGACACAATGTTTAAGCAGTACAGAGGACATTGCTTTGAATAATTAAATAATACATTATCAAAAATATTTCTATTAAGAAAAACATGTTTTCATTTGTTAACCCTAATTCATTGTTCAACTCTAGTCTAGTCCATTTTTATGAACAATTTTGCATGTGTGTACAGTATGCGTCTTAAATAAGGCAGTACCATTTCGTCTTTGGTTCAACTAATGGGGAATACATGAAATGCTAAGATGTTGCCCCTTTTCTCCAACAGACTGGTGTCCTCCAAAGGTTTCAAAGCACCTTGGTGGTCGCAGAGCACAACAATGACACGCTCACCCCGATTACACTAAATGCCATCACTGCTGCCAGTAAGCTGGGCGGAGAGGTAACCTGTCTGGTGGCTGGAACAAACTGTGCCCAGGTAGGCAAAGCTTTGTTTATTGACTGGCTTAAGGATCAAGAAACCTTTTGTGAAATCATTTGGACGTTCACCAAACTGCAGTAATATAGTAATGCAAAAAACATTCTGATAAATAAAGACACCGTATAGTAAATAATGTATAAAGTGCATGTTGAACATGCTTAAAGAGAAGAAGATAATATAGAACAAGGAAATATAGATACATCAGATTTTCTGTGTTTTCAGGTTGTTGAGCAAGTGAGCAAAGTACAAGGTGTGCAGAAGATTCTGGTTGCCCAACATGACTCGTACAAAGGTTCCCTGCCAGGTATGTAACAAACAAGAAACTTGATGCCTACTGTTTATTTAACCTCACAGAGCTAAATATATATTACACATTTCTGTTGTTGTTTTACGCAACAAGCTGCTTCATATTTGCACTCTTACTTATTCACAGCTAGATGATGTAGTGCTTGGCTTGCTCAAGGGCATCTTGGCAGTAGTTACCAAGGGAGAGGAGACCCATGCTCATATGTTAAAGCTGGACTGTACTGTCTGGCACCGCTGCGGTCAAAGGCACCTGATACCTGATTTAGTTTCAGCTGTCTGATTTTCTTTTCTTCCTCAGAGGAGTTAACTCCACTTATCCTGCAAACACAGAAGCAATTCAATTTCACCCACATCTGTGCTGGAGCATCTGCCTTCGGAAAGGTAAGGTAAGACAAGGACAAGAACAGTACCTGTATATTTTAGTTTTTAAAAGTTTAAATCAATTGTCTTCTCTTATTGCCCAGTCAAGATGAGCTTCTGTTCTACAAAAAAAAAAGAGAGCTTCTGCTTTAAATATGCTAATTTCGCAAAATATCCTCAATTCCAAAAGAACTGTCCGTTCATCAGTGTATTAACTATAGTCCATCTAACTTCCATTAAGTCTCCAACCAGGTTGATCAGTGCGTACTTCCCTGCTTACTCACCCTTTTGTTCTGCAGAACCTGCTCCCCAGAGTGGCTGCCAAGTTGGATGTTGCTCCAATTTCAGATATCATTGAGATCAAGTCTCCAGACACCTTTGTCAGAGCCATTTATGCTGGTAAGACCTTTCATAATGGTAAAGAACTAACAAATGTTTTGTTTAACCTTGACATGCGACATGATAGCTGGATTTGGTACAGCTTTGATATGACACAAATAACCTTGAAAGGCTTTAATTGATTATTTGCTGGTGCTTCTACTATTTTGATTTATATAGGAAATGCTCTCTGCACTGTGAAATGCAATGAGTCGATCAAGATCTTCACCGTCAGAGGGACATCCTTTGAGGCCGCTTCAACAGAGGGAGGAAGTGCTACATCTGCAGATGGTACCGTAACTTATAGATTCACTCGCAGATCTCTGAGACATTCATGTAAAGAAATGATTGTTATGAATGTTGAAGTATTGCTATAGGTTTCTATGAGAGGTATTTGATTGACTAATTTTGATTTAAAAATGATAAAGATACAGGATTCCACAAGGACAATTTTAATACAGCGTTCCTCATCATCATTTCTGATACTTGTATCCCTTGACAATAGTTACCTGTCCTCCTCCCGCTGGAGTTTCTGAGTGGCTGGAGCAGTGTCTGACAAAGAGCGACCGTCCAGATCTGACCAGCGCCAAAGTTGTGGTGTCAGGAGGTGGGAATCTGAAAAAGCAACGTCTCCATTTGTTATCAAAGCCACTTTCTGTGATGGCATTACAAAGTAGACTCATGGTGTGTTTCTTTCCCAGGAAGGGGTTTGAAGAGTGGAGATAACTTCAAGCTGCTTTATGACCTTGCTGACAAGATGAATGCTGCAGGTAAAAGGGGTTTTCATTTTGTGTTATTAATTAGTTTTCAGTAAATGTAAGTTTTAATTGCATATTATTCCTATTCCAGTTGGTGCATCCAGAGCAGCAGTGGATGCTGGGTATGTTCCCAATGACATGCAGGTTGGACAGACGGGCAAGATTGTAGCGCCGGTAAGTTATTCTTTTCCGAAGTGCTTATTCAAATGTATTCCTCTTGTACAGCATGCCAAGAAAAATAATCCACAGTATATTTTTAAATAACAAAATATGAAGTCACCTTTTTAAAATCATGTTAAAAGGCAGGAAACACTTGAACTCAAGTCAGAGTGGAAAAATGTGTCCTGCTTAAGACAAATGCCTTCTTGCCTTTACACAGCACGCTTGCAATTCAGTATGAACAGGGTTGCTGCTCTGCCCTTTTTAAAAGGTTAACTTCCC